ATGCCCCCAAGGCTGCCAAGGAGACGGCCCAAGGTTGGGGATATCTCCGACGAAATTTTGACGGGATGCCAGGCCCCACGATTGGCTCTGACCAGTGGCACTGACAGGGTTCCATTGAACACAAAACACAAGTTCCAAGTAGGCTGCGCTGGCTCTGTTGAACATAACATCATAACACACAACGCCCAAGTAGGCTGTGCTGGCCGCCACATTATGCCACATTTGCACCTGGAGTTGGACGGGCTACCGTTTAAGTTGGTGAACAAGCAAAAGGCGGGCGGTCGTTCGATCATGTGTCAGGTGAAAAGCAAACACCATTCAAAGATTCACAAGCCCGGCCTCTGTACTCAACGGCTAGCTAGCTGCAGCACCAAAGCAAAGCAGGGCATTCAACTTTGAAACCTGCCAAAGCAACGCGTTTTATGAAGGATCCATTCAAGAAATACGCCACCCTGTTGAGTAAAACTGTGTTGTTCCTGCCCTTCAAGCTTATCCAAGATTTACTGCCTTGCTCATGAATCATGGTCGAGAGGCCAAAAGGCATTGGCATCGCTCGTCTGTGACAGTGCGAGAAATATCGAGAAATGAATGAATGCATGTCTGCTTGCACATACGCCCCAGTCCGTGACTTGCACCAGGCACGAGGTCCTTGTCTGATGATTTGCGGTGTTGCATGTGTTCAGCTGCAAGACACAAGCCTGAACAAACTCTAGCTTGCTTTGTGACAGGCGAGTCTATGCATGTGCATATGAAAAGTGAATGCGAGAACGCGTACATTTATCTGCGATGTGCGTGTATGTGTGCGTGTGTCAATGCGCATCTGTGCATCTTTGTGCGACGAACGCGGCACAATGCGTGTGAGCACGCAATCCAAGTGCGGACTATGAGATGCGCGAAGTCTGCGCGGAAAATGTAAGCTCCGTCCCCACAAAAAGCGTCAGCGTCTTGCAAGCGTCTGCAAGCTCCATGCAGTTTGTGGGCCCGGCCTGTGTTTATTTCAGTTGCACCCATACAGGGAACCCCCCCTCGATTAATCTCACAAGCTACTCGAGAAACCGCCTGTTCTGACCCTTTTTGCACCTGTTTGACCCCGTGCAGGGATGCAGGAGTTCCCTTTTGAATCTATTGAATGGTGTTTTGCGCATGTGCTTGCTTTTGTTTGCATTCCTTGCAATTCTGTGCTAGTTGTCCCCTTGTCTGATAGGTTGCAGGATAACTTAATCAGGGGGTCCTCCAGTACTGTCAGGGGCCAGCATGCCGAGCGTATGAAAAGGAAACACCCACTTGCAATGTTCTTGGTGTTTCAGAGATCGTTGGAATCCCCAAAAATTCCCACTCGACAAAATGTGGAAAATATGTTTGCACTTGGGGGTCAACTACTTTCCTTGTCATCTGGTATTCTGTACAAATATATATATATATATATGGTACCCCCCCCATGGATCTACCTTCCTTTGGAAATCACTGGTATGTGCAGTGGTTTCTGCCTTTTTGGGGCTATGGGGAATGCAGCAAAAAGGGCTGCATTTCCAAAAACAATCTGAAAGCTTTAGGCCAGACTTTTCCAGGGAATCTGGAAGCCAGATTTTGAGGTGTTGTCAGACAATGCAAAACAACTGCTATTATGTTGGAGCCATTGGCCCAAGAGTGAAAACGTAAAGAATGACCCCAAAGTATACAAGTAAAAGAATAAAAATCTGGAGCTAATGACCAAAAGCAAAAAAACAAAAAAACAAAAGCAAAACTCTGGAACCAGTGGCCCAAAAGCAAAAACACGTAAACAATCAAAATAGTTGTGCATTTAAAAAAGGAAGTTTTTTTCTAAAAAAAGGAAGTAAAATGGTTCAGTCCATGGTCAAAACATTTTGCTTCAGGACCATGGGCTGCATTGCTTTACGATGTTGCTTTCTTACTTGCTTTACATTTTCTGCTTTACTTTTCATTTTGTATTTTGACTTATTTACTCCTTTACTTTCACTTTTTACTTTTTACATGTTGCTCTTGTTTTTATTACATTTGAAGGCTTTTGCTTTTTACTTGTTTACGTTTATTTGTTTTGTTTACTCTTTTACTTTTTGCTTTGGCACTTTTGGCTCCAGAAGCGTACTTTTGCTTATCTACTTTTTTGCCTTTCGGTCTCTGGCTCCAGAAATTTACTCTTTTGACTTGTGGATCATTGGCTCCGGATGTGTTGACTTTGTACTTTTGGGTCATTGGCTCCAAATCTTTACTCTTCACTTTTTGCCTATTAGCTCGATAAATTTGCGGGTAAAGCAAGTTTTCACTTTGGGCCATTGGCTTCAACACAGCTGCTGCTTTGCATCTTCTGACCAAAACTCAGCTTAGAATGGACAGGTTTAGGGTGTAGGGTTTTGGGTTTATTGACTCGCGTTTGTGGAAATCGGGCTATTTCCCGTAGATGTTGGCTCAGGGAGTTTCTTTGGACACATGCTTTATGTTCAAATAAACTCACTGTGGTTTATTGTTTTTTGCTTTGAACTCAAAATAGTCGAAAAGGATAATACACAAACAAATATATTCAAAAGCAATGTCTCAAAATACATTTGGAAGGTCATTTTAACAACAGGTGTTCGTCTATCATTGTGTTTGTTCAATTTTCTAATTAGAACTGAAATGGAGTTTGATAAGGAATTAACGTGCCTGCAGGTCGCTCCTCGCTCTCTCTCTCTCGCTCTCTCTCTCTCTCTCTCTCTCTCTCGCTCTCTCTCTCTCTCTCTTTCTCTCTCTCTCTCTCTCTTTCCCTCTTTCTAGTTTAAAGATATTTTGAATAGGATTTCCAGTTGGTTCTTTGGCATAGTGTCAATATAATTTAATAAAGACATAAAATTTATAGTGCGATATGTTTAACGCATGTTCCTAGAAGACTGCTTTTACTGATTGGAATTCTGATTTAAAATTTGACGTTCAACAGGATGTCTTTGTCCAAGAAAATTTGCTCAATTTTCCAATCAGAATTAAAATAGGATTGTGTAAAAAAAAGACGAGAACAACACGTAATATACGTTCTAGATAGAATTAAGGTGGTGTGAACATGATTTTCATTTTGAAGAGCATTGCTAATTGGGATTCTACTTCAATATACATTTTACAGAGAAAATTCTTTCCCTGAGACGTTGTTGCTCCAATCTCTATTTAGAATTGAATGGAATCTTATAAGGAAATAATTCTAATAGAATTTCTGACTTTAAAGATAAGTTAAATACGATTTGCTTTGCAACAAAACACATAACTTGAAGCGCTATTCCAATTTACATTTTGAAGAGGATTTCCTTGCTCAGGGCGAGCAGATGTATATATATATAAAATATATTGCATATGTTGTGTTTTTGTATGTGTGTCTGTTTATATGCATTTGTATGTGTATGTGTCTAGGTAGAGCGCATGCTGCAAGGTATGCAGATTTGTAGAATATGCGCATTTTATGTGTGCGTTTACAGGCTCCCCTGACGTGATGTTTTCTCTGTTTTGCTGCACCCTGCCACAACCTTTGCGCGCGCAGCCCTGCTTTCCTGGGCGCGGGGGAAACAGTGTAGACATGAAGCAAGATTGCACTCACGGAGAAGCCTAAGAGCGCACTTGCAGGCGCCATTTCCTAGAGAAAAAACGCAGAGCAGCAACTAGCGCCAATTCTTTTGCTGCAAGTGTTCAGCCAAACGCGGTTGCGCTGTGGCGTGGGTGCTTACCAACGGGCTGCGTCTTTTCATTCACATGGCGTTGCGCTGTGGCGTGGGTGCTTTTCATCGTGCTGGCGCTGCGTGTGCTCAATCAAACCAAACGTGTTTGCGCCGTGGCATGGGTGCTTACCATCGTGCTGCGTGCGCTCAATCGAAAGTAGTTACGTGTGTTCAGTCGAACGTACATGAACACGTTACCTGCCATGGGAGAGCGTGGCGGACGAACCTCCAATTTAAACACGTGGCTGCGCATGCTTGTGTGGGATTGTGATGAAGCACGGCCGTGCTCTTGCTCGTGGTTGCTTATGTCGTAAAGCGAGGCGGGCGCCCCGAGTGTTGTTGCAGCCTAAACAAAAAATGCGGTCGGCGTTGTGTTGCGCAATAAGCATTCCATCTTACAGCCCTGCAATCAAGCAGTGTCGAGTCTCACAACGAGGCCCTGCAGCGGAGAAGGTCAAAACACAGGCTTAGTTAGGGCCAAGTCCGGCCCCAGCAACACACTTCAAACAGGAGCGCTTTGCGCGAAACCTCATGACGGATGGCGCGCCAGCAGCTCGCCCAGCTTGTGGTGAATTTCAATCCGCCCGGTTCCTTCAGGTCAGGGTTTTGGTGAGACTTTGAGGGTACATGGCAGGGAAGGCTATTTTAGACAACCTGCTCGGCCCGTGATCAAGGGCTGCCTTTTTGACGACAACTGAAACAAAAAAGGCTGGGCTTCTTTTTGTGGGAAAAGCGGCATCCGGGCTGGCGTCGTTTGTTTGGAATTGCAGAAACCGTATCCGGGCGTGTCCGGGGCATGTCGCGGCAAGTGTAAAGCTGGGCGCGCGCTGCCAGCTCGCGCACATGTGTGTGCGGGCGCTCTCTTTCGTGGCCCGCGCGTTGGCGGCGTGCTGCAAGCGCCAACCCACACGTCGCTGTCATGAGGTTTCGCGTAAAGCGCTCCTGATTGAAGTATGTTGCTGGCCGGAACTAGGCACTTGGAAAAGCCTGTGTTTTGACCTCTTTTGCTGCAGGCCCTCAGTGTACACACATATAATATATATATATATATATGTAT